ATAAAAGACATGCTGTGGATTAATCATAACTAATGACCAAATACAGAGAGGAGTATAAGCACAGAAACACCCGGTGCATCATGGGAAGCGTCAGCAGCTTAGATCAATTGTAGGATAACTAAGGGAGGATTCAGGGTCACCTGATCCAGCCCTAACTATATGCTTTATCATATCTGCCTCCTGAATCCAAACTGGGAGCTGGTTCCACAGATGGACCTGAAAGCTGAAGGCTCTGCCTCCCATTCGACTTTTAAATATTCACCACTGGGCTTTAAAAGCAGCAGAGTATTGAAAACAGAAACAGCCTCTTCTGGTCCACATGTCAACAGATCAGCATTAGACCTGGTCGCGGTCTTTTCGGAGGACTGCACACAAGCACATTTACGTAGGTCGCAGACTCAGAAGGCCCAGTTTAGGCAAATACCTACCCACTTTACTGTAAATTCACCGTAACATGGCTATTGGGTAACTGCTAATAGCTAAACGGCTAACATTAATGTGTTGATGTTTGTTATAACTTTTAAATACGTCAGCGTGGTTGAAACAGGAGCTTTACTGACCTGTTGAAATTCCTCAGAGTGATTTGAGTGTTTTGATTGTCAGCTGCTTCAGCTGGAGGCATCGACACTGCTGCAAACGGATAATCCTCAAAGAAATTAGAATTTTTTTGTATCGATTGGTTACTAATTTTAAATTTGTCAGATTTCTGGTAAGCATCTGCTCTCTCTCCACGATCATTGTAAAAGCAGCTAATAAGCACTGAAGACTGAAGCAGTAAAACTGTTAATATTTTTTTGTTTTTTTAAATACGCAGGTTGTAATATTGTTGTTGTCAGCGAGGAACAAACGCTGTGTTTCACTGATTTCACTTGAATTCTTCCATCAGTGTAAAAGCAAAGCAGCGGGCCTGTTACTCAAACCTATTTAAAACTTTCCTAAACAAAGCAAAGACAGACTTTGATGTAGTCTGCCGCGGGATTCTTCATTAGCAGACTAAACTCAGCCTGTGAGAGCTTTAAATGCTGCAAGTGAAGAGGGAGCAGAGAACAAGGAGGCACTCTGCCTTCATTTATTTTAACTCCAGAGATGGAGAAGAGCAATATGAGCGTGTGGTTGAAGTCGGAAAATGTGCGAAAGACTTTTTTTTTTCCTGGTGTTACATAAGTTATGCACAAGCCCTGTTGTAGCCTTACTTTAAATATCCAGAAATATAGTGTGTGCTCAGGGGCGAAGTGAAAAGTGCGGTTTCGTGTGAACGGCCTGGGCTGGACGCTCAGGGAACATCAACAGAGCTGCACAGGAGTGTGCGCTGGAGCTTGGATCACATGTCACAGTGACCTGGAAATACAAAGTGAATCTAGATCATCACGCCCACACTCCCAAGC